ATAAAAATCAAGTATATAAAAACAAATTAAAATTCTTGTTGGTTGAAACCTTGCATATTGTCTAATGATTAGTCATCAGTTTACGTTTGAGAAGTATATCAGGCAAACCATTTTTCAGTTTCGGTTAGACTTTTTACATTTCTCATTGTCTCCATTTTTCCTCCAAAGGAATCATGCTGAGTTTCCCTGAATTCATTTATTTAAGTTTATTTATTTTGAGAGAGAGAGAGAGAAGGAGAGAGCATGAGAGGGGCAGAGAGAGAGGGAGAGAGAGAGAATCCCAAAGAGGTTCCACAACTGTCCATGCAGAGCCTGATGTGGGCTCACAAACCGTGAGTTCACGACCTGAGCCAAAATCAAGAGTTAGACGCTTCACCAACTGAGCCGCCCAGGAGCCCCTCCCTTGAATTCAGTTTTAATGTGTGATGTTCTCTAGGGTTTCGATCTCTCATTATGAAGAAACAGAGATTTCTATGAACTTCTCCCTTTGAAAAATCAGTTTCTCTCTGCACAACCAGGCAGTGCCCTTTTAAACTGTGGGCTACCCTAGGGCAATCACCTTGTTAGGGACTCTTTGATCGTTGACTCATCTGTCCTATATTGCAGGGGTGGCAAATCATGTAAACACTGTTTGCTTTCATATTCATTATGCTAAAGATAATCTTGTAACACGAAGCTCTCTAAAAAGCAAACTGGTCATTATGGTAACATTATTCTCAGCACATCACACATCACATCGCATTGAAGTGATCATTCATTGAAACGGTTACAGCTTGCCAGATCACCTTGTTGGATTGTGCTTGCTTATCCCCTCACCCTCTGACTTGTTCCAAGTTTCTCTGGTCTCCTCCATCCTTCAACTTCTCTGCCCACATATCCCTTCCACATGCCCAGCAGTGACTTCCCTTCCTTCACAGAGGAGACAGAAATTATGTGACATGAATCACTTCCCAGCCAAGAGCCACCCTCCACTTGTGTCTTGGGTCCCATCTCTTCTCACTTTTGCAAGATTCCTCTACAATTTGTTATGCAATATTTTCTCAGTATTTTCCAACCTGTCCTTCTTTACTGACCCATTCCCATTTAATGAAAACATGCTCTGGTTTCTTCCATTCCATTAAAACAACAAACCCTTCTTTATCCCTCCCTCCCCCTCCAGGCCAACCTACCTCTCTCCCCTTCACTGTCACACTTACTGCCCAGCTCACTACAGTCACATCTCTGTTTTTTGTACCTTAGATTTATCCCTCAGCCTGTTCCTATCTCCATTTCACACTTAATGGTACTGTTTCTTTCAAGGTAACCAATAATATCCAAACACTATTTTCGGTCCTCAACTCTTCTGGTTTTCATTGGAACAGTCCAGCCATTCCTTATCAGTTTCCTTCATTATACCTTTTCCTATAGGAAGTCACTAAGCTTTAGGTATCTTCAAAGGCTTAAACTAGGCTGACTTCTAACCTAACCCTGAAAAACTCATCTATTAACTTAGTTTTAACAGACATCTGCTAACTGACAGCTGGAAATTATGCCCAGAGCTCTGTTCTGATAATCAGGCTTATATAATTCTCACCGATTGGGTTTCCAGTCTAGGAGATGGAAATTAACAGCCAAGGGCATTTTTAGGGAATACTCTTAGGATCCATACCCATGGAAGGGAAAGGAAGGAAGCAGTGATATCTGCCAACTCTAGGGGTAGATCTGAAGCTGGAATGTCCCTTTCAAAGTGTCCTGAGTTGGAATGAAGGGTCTTTTCTTAAGAATGCCTGTTGACCAGTCATTGGTCAATGGCAGGTCACCCTTGGAAGGAGTTATGACCTTGGGAGGAAGGATTTTCTTCAGCTGAAGCAACTGACTTAGGAAGCTGGTAATTGAGAACTTCCAGCAGCTGAGAGAATAAGTCTTTTGTTTCTGAATCTGGGTCATTCACTACAGCATTGACTGTAAGAATCAACTGTTTCCTTCATATTTCTTCTTGGCTACCCAACAAATACCTCAGAAATTACATTTTTGACACTAAACTTTTCATGCTAATCCCCACTCCCTTGCACTGCTTTTTGCTCTGATTCCTCTGATCACACTTAGATGGCTAGCATCCACTTAAGCCAGAAACCAAGGTGTCCTCCTGAACCTTTTCTCTGCTTCACCCCCACCCGCATCTAATCAGTCACCATCATAGTGACTTCACATCGTAAGCATCTCTTGCTCCAGTCTAGCTTGTACCATCCATGCTGCTGCCTCTGTTGATTTGCAACCCTCCTGGGTGCCTCCCACATATAATCTGAAATTGGCCCCCGTACTCAGAGGGTGGGCAGAGTTTGAAAAAAGAGGCAGCCCACTCCAGATTGGTAGGTGGCAGTTTTAGTAAGCAAAGTGAACTTACATATGAAGTTTGCCTTGGGCAGCAGGAAGAGGGCTAGATCTCTGCACCTGCTCATCAGATCTTAAAGTTTATATAGAGGCCTTAACTAGGTTCAGTCATGTGTGCCATGCAGGTGTTCTTAATACCACAAGACTCTCTCAAGTCTATGCCGTTGGAGTAGCCTCTGGGAGCAGGAAAGGCAAATGGAACCATATTCCAAGGACAGAGGAAGGGATTAGGAGCGGGGGCACAGCTCACAGGTCAACTGGTTGCCTCATCTTTTTGATGACCTTCCCCAACAACCTCCAGTAAATTACTATTATAATTTGCATGGATGATGGCATTCTTTCCCTAAAAGTGGCTGTCCTTATGCCTACATTTTCCCTCCTTCAGACCATTCTCTCCTTATGGCAGTCAGTGGTGTCTTTTTAGCAATTACTAGAAACATCTCATTTCAATCAGTGACTTCCAAAATCTTTGATTTGGCCTACAAAGACCTTCATTATGGGACTCCAGCTTCTCCAAGTTTACCTTGTTCCCCTCTCTCCTTCACTCCTTCCACTCAATCCATACTGGATATTTACTATCTTCTTGGAAACATCGTATTCTCTGCACATGTTTTCTGCATGATCATCCCTTACCCAAAATATTTCTTTTCTCCCTTCAAGTCTCAGCTGATGTATCACTTCCTCAAAGAAGCCTTTCTTGAGCATCTGGGACTAGGCTGCATCTCCTTGTGTTCACGGACATGTCTTTCTTGGCACATGTCATCATGTAAGGATTTGGTTAATACCTTCCTTTCCCATCAAAGCACAATGCTCCATATCAGTAGAAACAACGTATCATATTCACTGTTTTATCTCCAGGGCTCAGCATGATGCCTAGCATATGGTATGTGCTTGATATTTGACTTTGTGCCATTTCCTCTACTTGGGATGTCTTCTCTAGCCTTGCAGACCTTGGGCTTTTCCCAGGAAGCTTTATACACCCATCAAAAAGTTAATTACCACCTCCTCCATGCCACCACTTTATTTTATACATGCTTCCAGTGTTGTACTTTTCACATGTTCATTTATTTAGCATTTGGAGTTGACAAATTGGCAGCTTATGAGCCACATTGCTCACAAAATATTTTTAGATCCCCCTCCACATATCAAAATCAGAGGAGATCTCACCATTAAAAAATCAGAAGATATGGCAATACTGAATACATATTCCCAAGAGAGTTACCTGCCTTGAGCAAATCTTCTATTTTCTAGGATATAACAGGTGCTCAATATTGTTGATTAATGGATTGATTGATGCATTAATTGAAAGTGATTAACACTTTGCTGCTGATATTTAATTTCAATCAAATTTCAATTTTATGGGATCCACTGTGGAAAACAACTACAGAATATTAAAATCATGATTATGGACTCAAGGACAGTTCTGAAATATACATGTTCAACACTGAACAAAGTCTTATTTAATCCACAGAGTTGGGTCCATTGTGGCTTCACTACAAGAAGGTATCCCTTAGCACACCAGTAGAAAATTGTAACTTGAGGGTTTAAAGAATGTCATCATATTGAGAAGGTCTTGAATTCGATGAACCGAATATCTTCTAGATAAGAAAATGTGCTGTTCTTGTAACAACAACCAGTCCTGACAGGGGTAGTGTGATTACATGTGCTTCTGAATGAACTGTAATAACCATTGGAAGTATAACTGTCCTTCAAACAGAAAGGTGACAATGTGGCTATTTGAACACTTCAAAAGATGTTGGTAATACTACATTCTCAGGCTTTGTTGCTTGCAGGACTGATTTTTGATTTCATAATCTGCATGCTTCCAACAATTACGTAACCTAAAAATATTAATTGAAAGTATAAAATATAAAAATGGAAAGGTTCTTGTTGGGATGAGCACTGGATATTGTATGTAAGTGATGAATCACTGGAATCTACCCCCAAAACCAAGAGCACACCATATACACTATATGTTAGCCAACTTAACAATAAATTATATTAAAAAAATGGAGAGGGTTATTCTTTTTTAAGCCATGTTCTTTGGGCAACATTTTAAGATGTGGATAGTTCACCACCTCACAATTTGATTATTAATCTTGTAGCTAATATTATAGTTAATTGTTAAAATTCTTTACATTTAGGAAATCTGAAGGGTAGTCTCTCCTGTATTTAAGAAAGTAAATCCTCTAATGTGATGTATAGTTTCTTATTTCTAGTGTGTTTGGTTCCTTAATATTGACATAAAGATTGAATTAAAAGTAACAGAAAACCCTAATATTAATGAATATGATAAAGACAAATGTGAATTTTTTCACATATATTGAAGGCAACACTATAGCACAATGAATGGATAATAGGTATCAAAAACATTTTTGCATGTAGATCAATCTTTTTAATAGATGGAAAATATTCAATAAAGTTTAAGTTACATGTCAAATCATTCAAACTAGAAAGGAAACAACATGTTCTGGCTTATTTATAAATAAAAAAATGTTCAACATAGACAATTTAGATTCAAATCCTCAAGCAAGTAAAAACTTAGAGATTTGTATTTTCTTCTAAAAATCATGTTTTATAAAAGATTTTATGATGTGTTGATATACTATTCTTCTCTCTGCCGTGCATTTTTATGTCCTTAAGCGTTCTTGATAAGACAGCATCCTTGATGAGAAAGACAGAAAAGGAGACAGATTTTTGAAATAAGCACCATTTCTGGTCAAGTATTTATTACATTCTTAGCCCTTCAACATTTCATATAATTAGTCATTGTTTTAACTAACTATTGTTGAAAGCAAGTTGCCCAACTTGGTAAATCATACCAGCAATTAATTCCTTTTTAAAAACTCAATGTCATTTGATACAATAATACCATATTTTGAACATTTTTTCTAAGTTATTTACCTCTTTTTTTCTTGGAAATGAGAAATCCAAAACACTTAAATACATATAAAATTTTCCTCCGCTGATTTTACCATAGTTAAAAATTATTTTTAAAGTTTTCCACCCATGTGTGTCTTATGAATGTTTTTTTAAATAGAGTGTTCAAAGTATCTAAAAAGTTGTCCTAATGTTGTTCATATAGTTCACTGTTTACAATGACTAGGACAGTAACACATACACTTTGCCATAAGTTATTTTTATAATATTCTTAATTGAACATAAAGTATAATTTCCATTTTATACTGCATCATCTAAAAGGTCAAAATCTTGATCCTATAAAATTGTTTGCATTTACATCATTTCATTGTATTATTGTAACATATTTTTCTAAAAGCAGAATTATTTTTCATTCATCAAGAAGTATAAAATATGGTTATTGTTTTTCTCTGTCTGACTTATTTAGCATAATACTCTCTAGGTCTACTTATGTTGTCACAAATGGCAAGATCTCATCCTTTTTTATGGCTGAGTAATACTCTATTATATATATAATATTCCACATCTTCTTTATCCATTCATTTATCAGTGGACACTTGGACTGCTTTCCTATATTGACTATTGTAAATAATGCTTCAATAAACAAAGGGTTGCCTATATCTTTTTGAATTAGTGTTTTTGTTTTCTTTTGTTTTCTTTGGGTAAATACCCAGAAGTGGAATTATTGGATCATATTGTATTTTGATTTTTAAATTTTTTCAGGAACCTCCACATTGTTTTCTATAGTTGCTGCATCAATTTACGTTTCCACCAACAGGACCCTAGGGTTCCTTTTTCTCCACATCCTTGGCAACACTTGTTATTTCTTGTCTTTTTTGTTTTTAGTCACTCTGACAAGTGAAAGATGATATCTCAGTTTTGATTTGCATTTTCCCTGATGATGAGTGATGTTGAGTGTCTTTTGTCTTTTCATGTGTCTGTTGGCCATCCGTATGTCTTCTTTGGAAAAATGTCCTCTGTCCATTTTTTAATTGGAATATTTGGGGGATTTTGTGTGTGTGTGTGTTGAGTTGTATAAATTCTTCCTATATTTAGGATATTAACCCATTGTCTGATATATCATTTGCAAATAATTTCTCCCTTTCAGTGGGTTGCCTTTTTGTTTTGTTGATGGTTTCCTTTGCTATACAGAAGGTTTTCATTTTGATGTAGTCCCGATAGTTTATTTTTGCTTTTATTTTTCTTGCCTCAGGAAACATACCTAGAAAAATGTTGTTAAGGCCAAAGACAAGATTACTACCTATTCTTTCTTTTAGGAGCTTTATGGTTTCAGGTCTCACATGTAGGTCTTTCACTCATTTTGAGTTGTGTATGTAAGAAAGTGGCCTAGTTTCATTATTTTGCAGGTAGCTGTCCAGTTTTCCTAGCACCATTTATTGAAGGACTTCTTTTCCCCACTGTATATCCTTGCCCCCGTTGTCATAGATTAATTGACAATGTAAGTATGGCTCTCTATCTTGTTCCATTTGTGTATGTCTATTTTTGTGCCAGTACAATACTATTTTGATTACTATAGCTTTGTAGTTTATTTTGAAATCTAGAATTGCGATACCTCTATTTTTGTTCTTCTTTATCAAGATTGCTTTGGCTATTCAGGGTCTTTAAATAAGTCAGACAGGGAAAGACAAATACCTTATAATTTCACTTATATGTGGAATCTAAAAAACAGAAAAACAAACAAAAAGCAGAAAGAGGTCTATAAATACAGAGAACAAACGGTCACTAGAGAGGAAGGGGATGGAGGGATGGACAAAATGGGAGAAGGGGAGTGAGCGAGAGATACAGGCTTCCAGTTTAAGTAAGTTATGGTAATAAAAGGTACAGCATAGGTTATATAGTCAATGGTATTATAATAGCATTTCATGGTAACAGATTGTAGCTATACTTGTGGTGAGCATAGCATAACAATAGAGCTGCTGAATCATTATGTTGTATCCCCGAAACACAGAATTTTACAACTATATGTGTGTCAACTATACTCAAATAAAAACCAGAAAAGAATGAGGAAAAAAACAAACAAAAAGGTATAAAATATATATTTTTAAGTTGTCCTATGAGGAAACACTTTAGTGTTTCCAAGCTCTTACACAGAAATGTGTTCCTGAAAATAACGTAATTTTAATCATTGTTATTAATATGCTCTTCTATCAGTAGAAAGATTTGTACAGTTTTGTTTCTCATATTTTTTTAAGTTTATTTATTTTGAGAGAGAGAGAGAGTGGGCATGTGAGTGGGGAAGGGCAGAGAAAGAGAGAGAGAGAAAGAGAGAGAGAATCCCAAGCAGGCTTCATACTGTCAGTGCAGAAATCAAGAACTGGATGCTTAACCAACTGAATCACCCAGGCGCCCCTTATTTCCCCCATCTTTATTACTCATACTTGGATCTATACTGAGAGGTGGGAGAAAATGTGATTTTCCATCTCAACATATAGGTTAATTTTTCCACATTTAAATATTGCCCATATAAATTGATTTGCCAAGTTGCCAAGTGTCACAAATATGAAATACAAACAACACTTTGACTTCAGACAACTCAGCAAGTTTTTTGAATTAATTAATATTTCTAGGAGTTTGCCTGGCTTAAAAAAATAAAATTATTTTTTCCTTTATAATGACCATAAAGTAGGAGTGTCATAGAACCTAATATTTCTGAAATTTATAAAAAAAAAATCTCTTGGATAACAACATGAAGAAAATCATTAATTGTAGGCACAAGTTTCTTCTTACCTTTCTTTTGGAACACATTTTGGATATTTTAACTGCCCTCTGTCACATTGCACTCTGAGTTCAGATCCTATAATAGAGGACTCATCTATATACGTATCTCTCCTACAAAGAAATTCAATATACTCGCCATGGAAAATATATGGTCTGTTGTCAAAACTCCATTTCAGGAGTAAATTATTATTTTCCATTTCAACAAAAGATAACGTACAAGGCTCTGAAAAATAAAAAGAAGAAAATAATCTTGACACATCTTGGCACTAACAGGAAGCATTGTGGCTTCCTACTCATGATGACCTTAAAATTCCCAGGCATTTGAGTGGCAACTAAGTTAGTTAGAATTAATATTTGAGTTGGAAAATATGTTCAAAGCTCACAGAAAACAGTCTGCCATTTATCTCTGTGGTCCTGGATTTGGCAAAGAAAAAAGTGTATATCCTGCCAGTCACTTAGCTTTATGTCATTAAGATTTTCAAAGATAGCAAATAAATAAAGGTGTTTTTTTAATAAAGAGCATTGAGAGTTACTAACAATTATTCAAGTAAGCTTCCTTTTCTTATTTTTTTTTTTCCTCAGAAAGCTCAAATAAAATCCCCACGAGACAAAGTATTTGTTTGATTGTTGGATAGATAAGATATTATTGAAATGTAGAAAGAAGCTGGATTCTCAACAATGACTCAAACACTATCACCTGATGGCATCCAGAGTGGTTGACAGTTTTTTATCTTTTAAATTTCCAGTTATTAAGGAATATCAATATTGGATTAAGGTGCTTTAAATTCTAAGCATTGAAAATATTATTGTGTCCTTCCACTAATGCATTAAAACAAAACAAAACAAAAACTTAAAAAAGTTATTAGGAGACCTGATAAATTTCTTTGATTTTTTTCCTTAATAAAAATATTGATATTTAAAAAATGTCAAGTTATTTTAGAAAATGAAGTTATTTGTGTCCTTATTTGCCTCTTGAATGACCTAGCACTAAACAGTAGATTCTGAGATAGGTTAAAGGTCCAGAATTGTTAATAGAGCATATGAATCATATAATACATTAACAAACTTCTTTATTCAAGATTTCAATATTTGTTGAATCCCTATGTATCTGCTGTTATGCTAGAAGTTCTATAGACAGAATAAAAATGAATAAAGAGAGGCTTAGGGAAGATGGCGGCGTAGGAGGGCCTTTAGACTCCACCAGCAGCGTCTGCTGATCACCGTTCACCTGCTAATAACTTGAAAACCACCAGAGGATTAACCAGAACTCCTGCAAGTCGCTTGAATAAGCGCCAGACCAGAGGCATTGCCAGAAGAGGGTAGGAAGAGGCTGGCCGAAGGCCAGGCTGATCTTGGCATATCACACAGGACTGGCGGGGGGGAGGGGCAGGCGGAGAAGTGACTTCGCCCGATAAGCAAGCCCCAGTCTGGCTTACCCAAAAGCGGAGACGACGACAGTTGTGTTCGACCCATGTAGCGACAAGTCACTCTAAGTTAAACAACTCTGCTCCAGAAAGCGGGAAGGCTGGAGGGACAAAGGAAGGAGAGCTACTGGAGCCCAGACTGACAGGCTCAGTTTGGTGGGGAACAAAGGCTATTGACATATCTCCCCAGCCATCCAGCCAAAATCCCAAAAGACAAGCAGTTCCTGCCAGAACTTGCTGCAAACTCGTGCAAACACCCAATATCTCTTTGGCTTCTGCTGAACCAAACCTCGACGGCGGATCTGTTGACTCCCTCCTGCTGCCACAGGGCCCCTCCTGGAAGTGGATCACCTCTGGAGAACCAAGCTAAGCCTGCCCTCCTGCCCCTATTACTGCCTACAGCCAAGGCATGGATCCCCAGCATCACAGAGCACGGCGGTGTGCAAATAGCCCAGACAGGCCACCCCACCCCACAGTGAATCCACGCCCCTAGGAGGAGAAGAGAAGGCCGCCAGCACCAGATCTGACTGTGGCCCCAGCTGACTGGGGCAGACATCAGAGTCTGACTATGACCCCGCCCACCAACTCAAGAAGTTGCCACCACAGCACAGGGAAGTGCCCTGCAGGTCCTCACCAAGCCAGGGACTATCAAAATGACCAAAGCGGAAGAATTCCCTCAGAATCTCAGGAAATAACAACATGTGGAGCTGATCAAAAGGATTTAAATAATATAACAGAAAGTGGTGGTTAGAATAATGATCATAAAAGTGTCAGCTGGGCTTGAAAGTATAGCTGACAGCAGAGGAATCTCTTACTTACAGAGATCAGAGGCCCTAAAGACAGATCACGAGGAGCTGAAAAGCGCTTTAAGCGAAATGCACTAACAAATGGGAAACCACCACGGCTGGGATTGAAGAGGCAGAGGAGAAGAATAGGTGAACTAGAAGATAAAGTTGGAAAAGGAAGCTGAGAAAAGAAGAGAGAAGATAAAAAATCCACGCGAGGGAAATTAGAGAACTAAGTGATACACTAAAGAAATAATATCATAATTGGTATCCCAGAGAGGAGGAAGAGAGAGAGAGGGGAGAAGGTGCTGGAAGGGGTGTGAAGAAATAATAGCTGAACTTCCTGAAGTGGGAAGGAAAAAGAGCATTGAAATCAGAGGCACAGAGAACTCCCTTCAGGCAACAGCAGATCCATTCTACACGAATATCATAGATAAAGAACTGGCAAAATAAAGAGAAAATTCTGAAAGCAGCAAGAAATTACGCGTGCCCTCACATATAGGGAGACCTATAAGACTCGTGACTGATCTCTCTTCTTTGAAACTTGGCTTGAGCCAGAAAGAAAATTGTACAGATTTTCAGTGTGCTAGACAGAGAAAAAATAGCCATAGAGAATCCTTTATCCAGCAAGTCTGTCATTTAGAATAGAAGGAGAGAATATAGCTGAAACAAACAAAAACTGAAGGGAATTGTCACCATAAACCCTAGGGAGATCTAAGAGGAGGGGACCCTGTGAGGATAAGTACCAGAGACATCACTACAAGCATAAAACATACAGACATCACAATGACTCTAAGCCCATATCTTTCTATAATAACACTGAATGTAAATGGATTAAATCGCCAACAAAGACATAGAATTGTTATCAGAATGGATAAAAAAAATACAAGACCATCTATTTGCTGTCTACAAGAGACTCATTTTAGACCTGAGGACACCTTTAGATTGAGAGTGATGGAATCTATTTATCATGCTACTGGAAGCAAAAGAAAGCTGGAGTAAGCCAAAAGCTCCTTATATCAGACAAACTAGACTTTAAATTAAAAGGCTGTAACAAGAATGAAGAAGACATTATATAATATGGTGACAGGGTCTATCCATCAGGAAAATAACAATTATAAATGTGCCCTTGGCTCTGGGCGGCCCAAATATAGCAAAACAATTACTCATAAACATAAGCTTGACAGCAATCAGAGAAGAATGTAGTGGTAATTGGGGACTTCCACTTACAGAAATGGATAGATCATCCTAGACACTGCGGTCAATAAAAGTAGGAAGCCTGAATGAGACATTGGATCAGATGGACTTGACAGATATATTTAGAACTCTGCATCCCAAAACAACAGAATATACTTTCTTCTCAGTGCACATGTATTCTCTAGATAGATCATATACTGGAGTCACAAAGCAGCCCTTCCTTAAGTTTACAAGAATTGAAATCATACCATGCATACTTTCAGACCTGTGCTATAAAGCTTGAAATCAACCACAGAAAAAGTCTGAAGAGCCTCCAAAAGCGTGGGATTTAAAGACACCCTACTAACGAATGGTGGTCAACCGAGCAATTCCGAGGAAAGAATTAAAATATGAAATAAGCGAAAATGAAAATACAACAATCCAATGAAAGCGGCATGTGCCAGCCAAGGCAGTCCTGAGAGGAAAATACATTGCAATCAGGCCTATCTCATAATAAGAAAAATCCCAAATACAAATCTAACAGCACACCTAAAAGGAATTAAACAGAACAGCAAAAGGCAAGCCTAAACCCAGCAGAAGAAGAAGAGAAATAATAAAGATCAGAGCAGAAATAGTAATATAGAATCTAAAACTGTAGAGCAGATCAAAAACGAAACTAAGAGTTGGTTTTTTGAAAAATAACAAAATTGACAAACCTCTATGAGCTTCTCAAAAGAAAAGGGAATGGCCAAATAAATAAAATCATAGTAATGGAATAACCAATCCCTGAGATAAAACAATTGTCAGGAATACTATGAAAAAGTATATGCCAACAAATTGGACAACCTGGAAAGAAATGGACAAATTCCTGAACACCACTCTTTAAAAGAGCACTCAATCAGGAGGAAATAGAAAGCAGAGACAGACCCCATCACCAGCGAGAAAGAGAAATTGAATGGGTTATCCTCCCAACAAATAGAGTCAGGACCCAGATGGCTTCCCAGGGAGTTCTACCAGGCAGGGCAGAGATAATACCTATCCTTCTCAAACTATTCCAAAATAGAAAAGGAAGGAAAAGCTTTTAGACTCATTCTGTAAACCATTATTACTTTGATTCCTAAACCAAGGCAGAACCCAGTAAAAAGACTACAGGCCAATATCCTGATGAATATGGATACAAAAATTCTCAATAAGATACTATCAAATCGAATTCAACGAGCATATAAAGAATTATTCACCAAAAAATTAGGGTTCATTCCTGGGATGCAGGGCTAAGTTCAACATTCACAAAATCAATCAACGTGATACATCATTAACAAAAAAAAAGAAAATTATATGATCTGTCAATGCGATGCAGAAAGGCCTTTGACAAAATCAGCACCTTTCTTAATAAAAACTCTTGAGAAAGTGGGATAGAAGGAATTTGCTCTTGAATCACAAAAAAGCCATTTATGAAAAGCCCACAGCTAACATCATCTCAGCGGGGAAAAACTGACAGCACCACCTGAGATCAAAGAACCGCGACAGGATGCCCACTCTCACGGCTGTTTAACATAGTGCTGGAAGTTCTAGCATCAGCAATCAGACAACAAAAGGAAATCAAAGAAGCGTCAAAATTGGCAAAGATGAATCAAACTTTAGCTCTTTGCAGATGACATCGATATTATACATGGAGAAAATCCGATGGAGAAAGCTCACCAAGTCTGCTAAGAACTGATCAACAGATTCAGCAAAATTTGCGGTCTAAAATCAATGTACAGAAAATAGTTGCGATTCTTATACGCAATGAAGCAACAGAAAAGACAAATAAAGAAAGCTGATCCCATTGAATTGCCAAG